TATTAGTGGCTTTCGCGTAGCTGCGAGCGTTTCCCCGGATGAAACCGCCGCGAACGCCACCGAAGCTGGCGGATCCGATCGGGCTCCGGGGAGATCGGGGTCGGGGGGCTGTTTTGGAGAGGAGACACAGCCGGTTGAGGGTTGAGTTTCTGAATGGGGAGGCTAGAGAAACACAACGAGCACGAGGACGGTATTACTGAGATGAGCGCCACTCAGGAGGGGTTCAACGGGCTGGATGATGATGTGCTAGAAGATGAATCGGCTCCCTTTCGACCTTCGTCGCTTCATTTCATACCCCCTTTTTTTCCTGTCTACCAGATGGGATGGTGTCTTTATGGCCTGGCGACGATTAGGAGGTTGTTTTAAACCGTATCCTGTCCATGGCTTTTCCAGGGTTCCATGCTTGGTCTACGACATGAAATATTGGTAGTCGCATGAAAGCACCACTTCCTCATTCCTGTAATCGGGTAAAGTTGGACAGGGTACATTCAAGTCCCTGCCTCCAAGGTACTGCATTTGTCTTTCTCTCCCCTTGCAGCCTCGGGTTACTTGTTCATCATTTCTAGCCATTTTTCTGTCTCGGAAACTCCGAATCTGAAATGTTGTTGGGTGAGGGAGCAGGAGGGTTCCCCGACAAGGCGGCTCGGCTCCACTGGTCAGATGAACCCCTGCCCTGGCTCACCCGGCCCGCTTAAAGCAGCCGGAGCGGTGCCCGGAGCCAACCGCGAGAGAGCGATGAACGATGGCTTGGAAATAAATTGGGATTGCGACTCAGACCTCGATGAGATCAATGCGCCCGCGGTCAGACATTGTTCCGTCAGGGGAATGGAACTTCTGGGCTGTGAGGCTCGTCCCGTCCCGTCGTCACCCTTCCCGCTTGTAGTTTCCTTTTTTTCCCCTTGCGACAAGTGCTGGAGGAGTTGGGACGAGTGTTACCATCCGGTCTTTGAGGATTTCCCCATTGGTTGGCCAGCAACTGGGCGCGATTCGCGACGGGAACCACTGAAGAGCAGCCAGCGGCAAGCCGCCCACAGTGGGTCACACCTTGCTTAACATGGCGTTGTCGTTGTCCTCACAACCACTCAACGGGTTACCAATCGAGCTACTCACCTTCATTATCGATGGCCTCGACCGTGTCGAAGATATCGCAGCCCTCTCCCTGACGAACCGACGCCTGTACAGCACCGCGAACCCCCACCTTTACAAGCGCGCCGCGCTAATGCGACGATGCCGCGTGCACTGGCCTGGGCCGGCCAATCGCGGCTTGGTGTCCACACTGAAGATGGCCCTCGGTCGCTGGGGTAGACCCTAATCATGAGTTCATCGAATGCTTGCCGCCAGATGAGTGGGAGAGGGTCACCGACGAAGCCCGCGCCGATGCGACGGCAGGCCGATCCAAGGCACCGTGGGCCATGTGGGACTTCAACAACCGACCAAGAGCCACCAACCTCGACAAATGGTCCTCCTCCCCGGATCCCGCCATCGAGAGCGACCACGCCGACACCCCCGGCGGCAGCACCTCTACCATTGCCCCCTCACCCCGGGCGCAAAGCACCTCGGACCAAGATTCCGTCGTCTCGTCCGAAGAAGACCTCTCGCGGCGCAGCGACGCGACCCCGGCTACCGAACCGTCGCCCACACCCACCCCACACCACCCCCTAACACGCCGGTACTATGCCATACACCTCGCCGCGCGGGGCGGTCACGACGACATGCTCGATATTCTAATCAGCAACGGCGCAACCGTCAACGTCACGTCTGAGCGCTTCTGCGCCTGCACCCCACTCTACGGCCTCCTCAACACGCTCGAGAGTCCCAAGCCCGATCCCGACCTCCCTCTTCTGTATGGATCACCACGTCTCCTCACCGCTGGCCTTGAGAACGGCCGCTGGGCCGTGAAACGGGAATGAGAAACGGTTGGCGCGCGTGTTGCTGGGGCTTGGGAAGCGGGAACGGTGGTAAAGGTGC